TCTGTGCCTTCAAATTCCTCACAGGATTCCTCTTTACACCCTTGGAAGCTTCTGGAACTGCTGGGCTGCTCCCTAACAAGACCACAGGGTCGTAATACGGCATCACAGGGGAGTTCAGGTTGGAAGGGACCTCAGGACATCTCCGGTCCAACCTGCTACTCAAAGAAGGATCAGCTTGTGGCTGGACTGGGTCACTCAGGGCTGTATCCAGTCTGACAACTCTTGAAAACATCCAACCTGACCTTGAAAACATCCAAGGTTGGAGATGGAACAAGTTGTCTGGGCAACATGTTCCATTTCTTGACTGTCCTTATGCAGGAAATGTCCTTATGCAGGAAAATCCAAGTCTTGGATTTTCCTTCTTAAACTCCGAAGGCATCACTGGTGGGTAGGAATGGAAAAGGAATTCCACCAAATCTGGACTTTTCAGAGTAAGACAAACTTGGTAATGCTGTACTTTTCCAAGAAATAGGCAGGTTTGGGGTGGGATAACCGTCTGTGGGTTCCTCCAAACCTGAGGCAAGGAAGAGGAGCAGGGTGCAGAGTGGAAACCTCACTTTCAGAGAGCCACAACCACGTGGCTCCATTTCTCCACCTCATTCATCGTCTGGGAGAGGTGTGAGTTTGCATCAAACATCAAAGAATCCATTTTGCCTTCAAAAGGATGGGGAATGTTTTTGAAATCATGACTTCCCCTGGCATGGGAAACCATTTGATTCCCATTATTTGAACTCAAGTCCTGTCCCAAGACTGAGCAACAGCTGAGGGCAGATGCCTTGGGTGACTCCAGCTTGCAAGACGAGTCAGTGAGGAGAGCTTGCAGCTGCACCTGATGCAAGATTTGGGGCTGGGGAGTGTTTCTGAACTGTCTTTTCAACTGAACATCCAAGAAAAGTTTTCCCTTGTAATTTAGTTGCTGCAGCACCAACCTCCAAGGCCGCTCAGGGCGTTCCAAAGCTGCCATTTCCGATCCCAAAGCAGGTTAACACCGAGTGGCTCTTGCCTTGCAGGAATAGATCATGAAACTCAAATGCTGACAGGATTAATGCTCTGTAAAAAGGCTCCAGCCCTTCAGCGAGGCCGGGTGTTCTTTTCACACATCAGCTTTATGAGCCCCCTGCGTGGCCGGTTTTGGAAGAATCAGAAATCCTTCAATGGAAAGACGTTCAGTGAAGAAAAACAGCAACAGCAGCAACAACAAAATGAACGAGCAACTGTGGAAAGCAGAGATATGAAGGAAGTGTTTTTATCGGCAAATATGCTTCAGTCAATAGCTGGGTGAGAGGTACTAATTTTAACACACCTTGGAAAGCTGGGGAGTTCAAAGGAAAATGGAGCTTTGGGTACAATAAACTAAAGGAGGTTACTCTGATACAAATGTCCAGGCAACTGAAGTGCTACAAGAAAACAGGGGGGTAAAGGCAGGTTCTTCTTCCTTCGACTTATCTTTTAATAGAATGAGATTTATGTTATATTACTGCCATTACATTCAAGAGACTTTGCCAAGGGGGTTTCATCTGTTCTGCAGAGATCCAACCCACCATTTCAAGCTGTAACATTTCCCAAAGGCTTTTTGCAGTAGGAACAATGCAATTCCTTGGAGAGCGGGGGCCTGGGCATCCTTGTGACAGAGAGAGACGTTCAGTTCTGACCCCAGTCTCACCTTGCTCCTCCTCAGGTCTGTGTTTGCACATCTCTTTTCTTTCTGCGTGTTTGAATTTAATAACTATTTTTTTAAAAAAGAACTGTTAAGGGACTATTTATTGAATAGCGACAAATCTGCCCAAGTAGCTTTCCTAATGAAAAACCAGATTATTTTTGTTGATATTGACAGCTACAGAAATCAGTATCTGCCATAGATCTGCATCATCTGTTTTGACTCTACACTCCCCAGGCGAGCATCTGCTCGTTTCCCACATGTACTGATGCCACATTGTGATCAGGAACTTAAAATACTTGCATGGGGTAACTCTCCCTGGCTCATTTCTACCCATTGATTTCCACATGAGTGGCTCAAAACCCTTGGGAATTCCTCATGATGGATCCATGACTCGGATCATATTAAAAAAGATTCAGGGTAAGCAGTAAGTAGCAATAAACTATGGCTGTGCAGCTTTAACATCAGCAGTTGAGAAGCATCCCAGAGTACAATCTCATTGATTTTAGTGGAATTATGTCATGCACTAATTTGAGCCAAAACCATGAGATATATTTCAGCGCTCCTGAAAACCCTCTTGGAATTTATTCTCCGGTGGAGGCTCCATTAAAATTAAAAAAAAAAAGACGCCAATTTTAACCATTGATCAGGAGATATTGTAACGCATCCGAGACGGGAGATTACATAAGACCTCGCAGGAGACTGACCTTTGGATGTGTGGCGGAGAGAAAAGAGGGAACAATTAAAGAGTTATTTGCTGAGAGCACCCAGGGGCACTAAAATCCCTGCCTGACAGCAGGCTCGGGCTGTTGCTGTGCCCTTTCTATTCAACTGAGAAAGACTCGTGAAAGAAACTCCTCTCAAGAAATAGATACGATATTTTTTGCAGCCGGTGACAGGAGAGCTCTGACGAATCTGAGATCAGCTCACTTGGAGGGAACAAAGGCTGCCAGAGTGAGTCGAGTTCACTCCCCAGTAGCCATGACAACACTTTGAAGAACTCACAGTTTAGGGAAGAAGTGAGGGAAATAAATAGTGATTGGCGACTCAAAGCGATCCATTATTGCTCCTCCGTTATCTCTGAGCACCTGGACAGCTCCGAAGTTAAGAAGCCGATGCTTTGTGGCTCCCCGGAGAGCAGGCAGGGTGTGGCTTATCCCAGGGAAAGGAAGCAGAGGGACCTGTGGCCAGAGCCCGGGATGCTACAGACTCATCATGTGTGTCCTTGGAAAGCAGGGGAAGGATTTAGGACCAGTCCCCTCCAGCTCTTCACTTAGGTATTTCTGGGAGACATTGCACAGCATCAGAGGAACAAAATAGGAGCAAAATGGTCATCCTGAAACGTGTAGAGTCCAGGAGTAAGTTTAAAGTGGTGCTGGAGGTGTTTTAAGCAGAGCAGTCAGACTTTATAGTTGGAGATGGGATGTCCCTTGTGCTCCATCCTGCTGGTCCCTTGTCCAGCCCAGGTATGGTTACAAACAGCTGGAGGACAGGAATATCCCAAATACCTGGAACTACCTGCTGAATGGAAGTGTATCCTTGCAAGTGCTTGCCTTGCAAGTCACATCTGCTCTTTGAAAGTCTATTTCCCTTCTTTCCATTCCCCCAGGAAGTTTGCTAGAATTTTATTAGGGTTTTTTCTTATTTTATTTTTTTTCCCCCTTCATCTTTTTGGATGTAATAGCTGCCCTCCAGCTATATCTCTTTTTTGCTTCTCATCCAGACAGCTTCTGCCACTGCTAATATCCATCTGAACTGTGGGAAACCAGAGCCCACACTGGACAGTAATGTGTCAGTAGAAGCTTCAGAGTCTTCACAGCAGAGGGAAAAGGGATTAGGATTGATAGTTGCTGCGCCCAGGCTTCTTTTGCAACTCCTCAAGTGGGGTCAACAGGGCAGGAGACAGGTTAATGTCCCCTGTGCTGTCCTGGAAATGTGTCTCATCCCAGCCAGAGGGTCAGGCCATCATTCTCCTCCGTCTAATTTCATTAAAGAAACGAAAAGAGTGACAAGCGTGGGATTCATGGGGAGCTCAGTGACACAACGACCTGTTCCTCAGGAGGGAGCTGAAGGCATCCATAAATGTTCCAGAGGCTCCCGAGAGCCTCCTCAGATGACAAGGTTCAGGGAGGCCTGGGGTCTGAGCCCTGCTCCACAGAGGGAAGAGATTTCATCCCTCAGGAGCAGGATTCACCCGGCGGGTGAAACCACAGACATGCAGCGAGTGTCTGAGCACATCCCGAGGGAGCGGGAGCTGTTTGCCCACGGCAAACAGGGATTGCAGGTGTGACAGCACTGCTGGGAGGGTGGGAGAGGTGAGAAAGCAGGAGAACTACCCTGGAGCACCTCAAATGCTGCTTCTCCCTGCACATTTGCACGGCCCCTGTGGGCAGTGGGCACCCAGCTCCTGTCCCTGCTCTCCTGCCAGGAGGGAAATCATCCATGCCAACCCACTCCCACAGGCTTTACGTTTACTCCAGCAGCCCATCCTGGTGTCCTGAGCTTTGGGAGTAGAGTGGAATGCCAACACACACTGGTAAATGCCTCCTCTACCTGCATTCCACCTCCCTCTTGCATTTTCTGGCATCTCAGACACCCAAAGTTGACCTGAACCCCCAAACTCTGGAGGTCACAAGCACGACACTGCCCCATAAAATTCTCATCTCCTCTGTCCTGCCTCAGGGCAGCTCTGGTACCTCCTTTCCCTGCTCTGAAAACTCTCCAGATATAATTGCAAATTCTGTGGGCGTAAACTGTATTTATTATTATATTGATCTAAACCGTGAAATTTTCGCTAATTCTGAAATATTTGCTACCACTGGCAAGCAAACAACCCCCGCCTCTCCTGAGGAGCCAGCAGAGTTGGCAGTGCATGGGGGTGACTCTCATCACCATGTCAGGAACTAAGGGCAGGATTGTTGCCTATGACTGTGGAAGAATCTGTGATCTCACCAAGGAGTGTCGTCCCAGGTGGAATCAACCTTCCGGACCCACCCAGAAACAAAAAATGCAAGTTTTCCATCAGACCAACGAAAAATTCTTTTGCTTCATTCAAATTAAAAGCTTCATTTCGATTTCAGCCTTTTAATAATTCGCTTTTTGATCGTGTAGAAAGAAAACAGGGTGAGAGCTCCAGTTTGCAGGTCCGTGGGGTTCAGCACAATAATATCCAGCAATAAGAAAATAGCTTATTAAAGGACAGGCGCCCTATTAAAGGGCAGGAATAGTTACAGGCTTTGTAAAAGTCAAACACCTTCAGAACACATTGTTTTCCAAGAAGTGGTGATTAATAACTATTATGAGCACCGCTGGAAGCGTGGCCATGTCACAGAGGCAGGGAAGGAGGCAGAGAGCGTGACTTTAGGTTTGGTGCAGCCCCAGGCACGTTCTGGTCACCCGTCAGGTCCATCATACCAACCACCAGCACTTGGAAGGTCTTCTAATGAGTCAAACTTTCAGCAGATCCTCCTGAGGCTCTGGGGCTGTGAATGCTTCAAGGTATCTCTTGGTCACAATGAAAAGCTGTCACCATGCACCTCTGGACTACCAAGAGGCTGATGGGATGGCCTGACCTGCTGTCCAGCTCCACTGGTGGCACAGCCATGACCTCCAGTGACCATCAGAGGCACCTCAGCAGGTAGCTCAAAAGGAGGTGTCAACATGTAGACCTACCTAAAAGGAAGGTATTTTCAGCTTGAGGTGTCTTCCAGTCACTCACACCTTGGCAGGCCTGAAGAGATCACAGAATCATGGAATAGTTTGGGTTGGAAGGGACTTTTAAAGGCCATCTGGTTCCACACCCCCTGGAGTGAGCAGGGACATCTTCAGTAAGATGATGTTGCTCAGACCCCAGTCCAACCTGGCCTTGAATGTTTCCAGGGATTCTGCTTTTCCTAGAGTCATTAATATTAGAAAAGCCCTCTAAGATTATTCAGTTCAACCCTTCCCCCAGCACTGCCAAGGCCACCACTAACCCATGTCCCCAAGTGCCACATCCACATGGCTCTTAAATCCCTCCAGGGATGGGGACTCCACCACTGCTCTTTGCAGCCTCTTCCAACAGTTGACAACATTTTTGGTGAAGAAATTTTCCCTAATATCCAACCCAAACCTCCCAACAGCTGTCACTTCCAACCTCAAACGTCTCCAATCCTTTTGGGATATCTTTTTTTTTTTTTCCCTTTCTGCTGGAAAAATAACATAACAGCGAAGCTGTAGGAACTCAGCTGCTTCAGAAACCATAACCCATCCACAATTCACAGCCCGTGGATTGGGAAACCCAATCCCTTTGAAGAAAATACTCCCAAGTCCCTGAAATCCCTCCCTGCGCCCGGGGCTTTGCAAACCTCCACTTACTCTTGGCACCCGTCCCCGGATTGTGTCACTCGCCAGCTTAGTTAAGAAGTTGATTTGAATATTGTTTTATCACACTGTGCTTTGCAGACAGCATTGAGTCAGCTCAAAACCAGCTCAGTGTGTACTGGCTCCCAGTTAATTATAGTCATAAAACATAATTTACTCCGGTGAAAGGAAATACTTGGAATCCGGAGGGCTCTTTGCTGCAGACGCCGGTTCCTGCGCAGGGTTTTGTTTTCCCCCGTTATCGCGCCGGGCACGAGGCAGCAGGGAGAGTTTTCTGGCTGTGGGATTAGAGATTGTTAAAGAGCGTGTTCAGACATCCCCCAGTGCACGGGAGATCACAGGGAGGATGTTTTGCAGACGGTTTATTTTCTGACGAGCGTTAATACAAACCTTGGGAAAGAAAGGAGGAAACCGTAGCCTTGTAAATAATTGCCCGTCTCTTGCTTGGGATTTCTTTGTACCTGTCCTCCCTTCAGCAGGGACCCTGAAGAACTGGGTTGGTGTTTCCTCCCGTTTCAGCTCTCCAGGCAGCAGATAGTCATGGTTTTAATGCCCTATTTGAGGATTTGTTTTCCCAAAAGCCATATGCTTGTAGTGTGCCCTCCTCTTTCAAACCACTCACAGGGCAAGGAGCTTCATCCTGGTCTTTGTCCCTGCCTCAACGTGGCAGGAAAAGTTATTTCCATCATAGGGACTAGACCACCTCTTGAACCTACCTAATAAATCCATCCCATGAAACAAATCCATGGCAGTAAACACCTGATGGTGAAGGGAGGCCAGGGGCGATGGGCACCTTCCTCTCTGTAGGTGTGGCTCGTGGGCACATCGCGGGCACATCCCAGAGTTATTCTGGGAGTATTTGCATGTGTCAGAGCTTCTCTCCCGTTGTCCAGGAGAGGATTTCTGGCCACAGACCAGGCCTGAGGTTTCCACAAGAGGCTCAGGGTTGCAGGGCCCAGCATTTCCTTACTGAGAGGTTGCCTTGGCCAAGTGCCCAACCCCAGAGAGGCAGCTGGGGAGGGAGCGTGGCTGAGGGCAGATGGTGGAGCTGCAGCAACAGCAACCCACCTTCTCCTTCAAGCTGTCAGGAGTGCTTAAAATTGGTGGGAGAAGAGCAGGCACAAACTGGAATATCCAGGGAAGCTCCACTGGGAACAGCTATTGCTGGTGAGCTCTGGTGGGGCTAATCTTGGAGGGGGACACTTTGTTCCTCGCAGGGTTTGAGGCATTTGGGAAGGGCAAGAGCAAGGGGGAAATGCTTTGCACATACTCAAATTCTCTGCCCTCATCTCCTGCTCCTCACTGGTGGATGGAAAAGCATCTTGTCAGCCAGGTCTTTTAGCAGCTCTGGCACAAAATTTGAGTGCTTTCATGTTTCTTCCAACCAGAGGGAGTCAAGTGGAGGATATGTTTTAGTTTGTCCGGGTAGATGCTCCCCTTGAGAGAGGCATCACATTGTGATGGTGAACTTGATCCTATCTAGATGTTTTTCTGGGTTTCCTCCCTGGTTTTTCTCCAGCACTGGTGAGAGGGACAGCAGCTCCTCTGGGCCTGTCTGATAGATGGATGCTGCACAGAAATGAGAGCTGGTCTGAATTCCAGCCTCCTGGTTCCCTCCCTTCAAAGCCCTGTCTGTGTTGAAGAATGGAGGTGGCACATCTTGGCCAGACCCAAAGGAGGGCATGGAGGGGCTTTGGTGAGTCTGTGAGCCCTGACACAGCTGTGCATTCCTTGGTCCTGCCTCCAGATCGCTTTCTCCCCCGAAATCCTCGTTATCGGAGTATTAATTGTACGGTAAGAAAAGACTCAGGTGTTTGTACCACAGGCTGATCCCCCAGCGTGGGCAGCAGGGCAGGGGGGGATTCTGCCCCTCTGCCCCCTCAGGTGAGACCCCTCTGCAGAGCTGCCTCCAGCCCTGGGATCCCAGCACAGGAAGGACATGGAGCTGTTGGAGTGAGTCCAAAACAGGGCCACCAAGCTAATTAAGGGGATGGAGCAGCTCTGCTGTGAGGAAAGGCTGAGAGAATTGGGATTGTTCAGCCTGGAGAAGAGAAGGCTTTGGGGTGACCTAACTATGACCTTCCAGTAACTGAAGGAGCTGACAAGAAAGATGGAGAGAGACTATTTACAAGGGCCTGGAGTGACAGGACAAGGGGGAATGGCTTCAAACTGACAGAGAGTAGGTTTATATGAGATCATAGAATCATAGAATCAGCTGGGTTGGAAGGGACCTCTGAGATCATCAAGTCCAACCCTTGATCCAGTACTGCTGCAGTTGCTAGACCATGGCACTGATGCCACATCCAGTCTCTTTTTAAAAATCTCCAGGGACGGAGAATCCACTACTTCCCTGGGCAGCCCATTCCAAGGGGAAGATATATGGGAAGATATTGGGAAGGAATTCCTGGCTGTGAGGGTGGTGAGGCCCTAGCACAGGCTGCCCAGAGAAGCTGTGGCTGCCCCATCCCTGGAAGTGTCCAAGGCCAGGCTGGACAGGGCTTGGAGCAACCTGGGCTAGTGGAAGGTGTCCCTGCCCATGGCAGGAGGTGGGACTGGATGGTCTTAAGGTCCCTTCCAAGCCAGGCCACTGTTTGATTCTGTGATTCCATGAATAAAAGTGCCCAAATCTGACAAGAGTCAAACTTCCTGGGGAAACTGAGGCAGTGGATGCACCAGGGACATGACTCCAAATCCCAGCAATCCCTTAAGAGGTCCCAAAGAGAAACCAGCACCTGTGGCTCCTGCAAGCACCGCCAGCCAGCCACCCTCTTTAGGTTTTATTGAAGTGATAACTAACCAGGAATATGGTCCTCTTCTTCCTCACCAGCACGTGCAGGACCAGCAGGGAAATAAAAGCTCTCAAAGGAGCAAAGCCCATCACATTTGGTGTTTTATCAGGATTCCACTTCTCTTTTTTAATGCACTGTGAGGAGATGGGAAGCATTGCTCCAGGTCTGGGCAGAAAGAACCAGGAAGGGAAAGAGAAGCCCCACAAGCCTTGGAGGCACAGAACCAGGGAAGCTACAGAAATGGAAAAAAAAAATAAACAAACGGGGGGAAAAAAAGCAAAAACGTCCTTAAAATGTTGTTTGTTTATCTTGCAGTCGCTTATTTTGCTGCAGAGGAGTTTGAAGTTCTCCATTTCCTGGGTGTGCTACAGGAGCAGCAGAGTTGAGACACAGGCTTTTAATGAAGTTTATGTAAATTTGGTGGTGTTTATACTTAGCAGAACAGATTTAGGAGTACTAATAAAGCAGCAGATGAGGCGTAGAAAAGAGTGAAGTTCTCCACCACTGTTATTTTTTACCTTCCTCCCACCATTCCCAACGAAAAGAGACTGTTTCTGTTGCCAGTTTCTCTTCAAAACAAGTGCTTTTGAAAGCCCATTTATCCCCAAGTGCTGCTGAAGCATCTCCCAAGTTGTGTCCCGTTGCCTTTCTTCCATGAGCAGCCGGGGGCAATTCAGTCCATGTTTGCTTTTCCCTTAAAGGAAGTGAATTTTTCCCAACTCCACTGGTGGGTCTTTGTTCACTACCATGGGATCACTGAGGCAGGACAAAGCAAAGCCAGGATTTTATTTAGGGGTGGCCAGATTGAAGTTGAAGCAGCCTTTTCCTTGGGAAGAAGGTGAGGGTTCATTCTGGATTTGGGTGCTGAGGAAGAGCAGGATGAGTCTCATCCCTGGGGATGTGGGTGGAGGAGGAGGCAGAGCTGGAACTTCCCAGTGGTGAGTGGTGGCTGATCCTGTGCTTGTGGCTACAGGGAGAAGAGCAGGGGCCACCAGCCACGTGGCCATTATCCCTGTGCCCTGAGAAAGCAGCAAGTCCATCTTCAAAGGCCGTGGTGGAACAAGATGTTGAGAAGTAGAAAAATTCATGGATTCCAAGTTAGGACAAGGAGTGTGGTGGGTCTCTAGGTCCTCATGTAATGTGTGGGGAGGCTGAATAATGAACCATGACTAATAACCCAACAGCAAACAAGTGGAATGTTGCCTCCTACCCACCCCCCACGTCGCTGTGACCCATCTGAACAGAGAAGTTCTGGAGCAATGATCCTTCAGTGTCCTGAGGGCTGAGCCAGGGATGTCCTCCTGCATCCCAGAAACACCACTGGGGGGGCCAGAGGGATGCCATGGGGGCGAGGGGTTCCATCCTGCCTCTTACCTCAGCCAGACAAAGCCTCCACAGCCACACTTGGGTCTCCCTGGAGGTCCTCTTACAGGTGGGGAAAACCAGGATGTGGAGACAAGTGACTCGGAAAATCCTTGAAGAAGGTGCCTGGGAGCCCCGACACACCACCACAACCTCTTTAAAATATTTTTTGCTTGCCCTAGGGGTGTTTATGTAAAAAAAATGAGGCAGATGTGGGGTTTGTCAGCTTTATGCATTGCTGTGGCAGTAACCTCCAACGCAGTTCACTCAGAATATTCCCTACCAATTCCCTCCTTGGCAGACCCCCCCCTGGGATGGGGTTTCCAAGGAGGGGAGTGTACCTTCAGGGCCCATTTTGAGCAAACCTCTTCTTACCAGGAAAAAGCAAAAGTCCTTTGCACACTTAGGGATGAATAAACACACAGGAACTCAATGAGATGAGCCACCTGGACACAATCCTGTGCCACGTGCTCTGGGATGAAGGTTGGACCAGGTGACCTCACTGTGGTCCCTTTCAACCTGACTCATCCTGGGATTTTGTGAGATTTACAGGCTGGTGGTTGTGTTGGCTGGATGAGGGATCCTCCCTGGGCTGCATCCAGATTATCTGAGCCATTTAGGTTCCCTCCCTGCCCCTGGCATCCCTCACTGTGACCACAAAACTCCTCCACTGGGCAAAGAAGGGCAGTTTTTTGATACCAGAGGTGTCTGGATCCATCATCACAAAACAGAAGGTAATGCTAATTATTAAAAGCCACCAGGCACTGCTGCAGAAATATCAAGAATTTTTCTTATTTTTGCCACCTTCATGCCTGGCTTTCCTTCCAGAAAAGAGGTAATGTCTAAATTTAGGACTGGAATGGTCAAAGCTTAGGTTTGAGATGAGGTTTCACTACAGCACCACAGGCCCCTCAAACAAAGCAGAGCAGTGCTTGGTTCGGGTGGTGAGAGCAAAACAGCAAAACCCCACGTTGTCCCCTGCCCACCTCACGCTGTTCCCTGTGCACCTCTTACATCATTTCAAGGCCAAATTCCTGCCAGGTGGATGGAGAGCCAACAGATGGGGGGGTCTTGCTTCTTGTCTCTGTGATTTCCTGGGCAGCAGAAACACTGCAGGAGGAAATCTCGACCACTTCCCTTCAGCTCAGCCCGGGGCTCGAGTTTTCCTCAGGGAGCCTATTCCTGCAACACAAAGAGAGTCCTGGAAAACATGGACCCCCCCATATTTTAGCAAGCAATCATGGTATTTAATTTTTTATAGGAATCAACCATTTGTTTTACCAACATCCACCAGGGCTTTAACATACACCAGGGAGAAAACTTGCAGTTGTAAATCTACACCACCGAGCTGAGCATCCTACTCAGATTTTCATGGCATCATGGAATTGTAGGCTGTCAGGTTGAAAGGGACCTCAGGGATTACTGGGTCCAACTTTTCTTGGCAAAATCCCTGTCTAGACAAGATGATCCAGCACCCCATCCAGCTAAATCTTAGAAGTGCCCAACACTGGGGAATCCCCCACTTCCCTGGGGAGATTATTCCAGTGGCTGGTGGTTCTTGTTGTGAAAGATTTTCCTCTTGTGTCTAATCAGAATCTCCCCAGGACTGACTTGTGCCAGTTACCCCTCCTTCTTTCCATGTGATTCCCTGTAAAAAGGGAATCCCCACTTGTTTGTAGCCACCCTTTAAGTACTGGAACACAGAGACAAGGTCTCCCCTCACCCTCCTTTTGTCAAGGCTGAACAAACCCAGTTCTCTCAGCCTTTCGTCACATGGCAGCTTCCCAGTTCTTGGATCATCTCTCTGGCCCCTCTCCAGCCTGTCCACATCTTTTTTGTGTAGCAGGGACCAAAACTGAACACAGTGTTCCAGGTGGGGCCTGAACTGCAGGGCAGTGTGGGACAAAGACTTCTGCATCTCTGCTGGGTTATTTATTTTTTTTTTTGGCTACAAAGCTCTGACATGAGAAGCAAGGACATGTGATCCACCAAGATCCATTAATTAGGCAGGGGTGCTGCCCGGGGAGTTTTTCTGGCAGGGCTTTGGGTCCTGCTGTAGCTCCTGGGGACATCTGAGACCATCTTCTAGCAGGGAGGACGCCAAAGTCCCAGTTCAGTGTTGCAGAAGTGGCCCATTAATGGTTTTGACCTCCTCTTTGTTTTCCTCCAGCTCCTCTGGGAGTAACCAACAATCCATATGGGGCTCTCTGACATCCAGAAACCCCCAGGAGCATCTTCCTTGCCACAGACTCATGGAATTTTCAGGCATCCCAGTTCCTGGGGAGGAAGGGACAGCCCAAGGCTGGATCTGGGTGATCATCTGGAGGGGAGATCTTTGAAACAGAGATTATTCTCACTTAATCAAAGAAATCTTTGGGGAAAAAAACCAGGCTTTTCCAGACCAAAGGCACTCAAATGTGGTCTCAGGTGCCTGAGTGATCCTGCTGTGTGTGAGGCACCAGGGGTGGGAAACCAAAAGTTTGAATCCTTGTTGAGGAGTGATGGATTCACAGCTCTTTCACTAAATGCTCAACCTCACTTGAATTTGCAGCTGCAGCTTCTTTTCTCTGCAGCCTGAAATGAATCTAAATATCCCTGACTTCAGGTGCTGGAGGAGGAGAAGGAGGATGTTTCTAGAAAAAAAAGAAGTGTTCAGTCCAGGAACCAGCTGTGATTGCTAAATTAGGAGATTTAGACAAACGGGGGGAAAAAAAAAAGGCAAAATGACTGAAAAGTTAAAAATACAGCCTGAAACGTGGAGTCTTCTGAGAGCTGCATTTCACCCTTCTTTGCTCTTGTCTAAACCAAGAATGAAGGGCACTGCAACTGCACACCAGGCCCACAGTGTCAATATTATGTAAAAGATGGAGGGCAGGAGGAGATAAACCAGCCCAAAACTCTCCTGTTTGGTGTCACACCCAAGATTTTGCAAAACCACCAGCATGAGTAAGTAATTTCTGGGACAAGGGCAAGGACCAGAGGCACAGAAGATGCTGCTCAGAAAAGGAAACATTTTCCTGCTCTTCTGTTAGTCATCAGCCTGAGGACAAGTTGATTATCCCAGTAATTGCTGACAAGGTATCAGTGTGATGCTGAGCTCCCAGAATGCTTGAGGGGCTTCTCCTAAAGAAATCCCACCTGGAGCCCTTTTCCAGCTGGTTGTGGTGGCCCAGGAAGGAAGGAACTGGGGGAACTGGTGAGTGTATCAAGCAGAGGATGTGCAGGTTGTTTCACCCAGCTCCTGAAGCGCTGGTGAGTCTCCTTAATCCGAGTTTCCATTTTAAAAGAGGGAATAGGAACTTCCAGGCAGGAGGATTTTACGCACAAGGACTTAACAGTTAAATTTATTCCTGGCTAAACTGAGGAGCCCAGAGTTATTAAAGCATGAAATTGCGCCAGTCAATTAAAGCGTCAATCATGGGCAGCCTCATTTAGGAGAGCTGCTTTAATCCCAGGAAAAGAACATTTTTTTTTTGGCCTAGTGAGGGAGAGCACGGTGTCTTGAAGTTGGTTTTAGCTGTCCCTCAGTTACTGTTCAGAGATTTGCCAATTTTTTTTTTTTTAATTTATTTATTTTTATTATTTGATATTTTCTGCTGTGCCCCTTCCAAGGTGACTCGTGCTCCGCTCAAGTAGAAACACAGATGTGATTTTGAGCTGGAGATGGAGTGACTCCAGTGGGCTACAGAGCAAACAAACAAGAAAACTAATCAAAGGGGCATTTAAACTGGCAAACATCAGAGTTCTGGGACATCTTTTGCTTTTAAGCAGATAGCAGATTCTTCTTTTGTTTTCAAAACTCGCCAATTAAATTATTCTGCTTGTCGCTTCGTGCAACACGTGTTTGTTTTATTTGCTTTTAGAGCCTTTTTTTTCCCCCCTCTGGGCTGAAATCCCAGGATGCTGACTGCACCACTGATATGTTTTGAACAAATGATGACTGTCATTTGGCCCTGGTTATGTAGAGCACATACCTGAGTGTAATGGATGAGAAACATGTTCAGAGGGGCTTTACTGGGAGTTGACTCTAAGCCTAGTGCTGGATACAATCTTTTATTCCTTATCCACTGAAACTCATGATAAAAAAAGGGTTTGGAGGAGAAACA